TGGTTCCGGGAGGGGGGGGAACGATCTGCATCCCCATCGGGGCCATTTTACGTAATGATCCCCTGGGCGTTACTATCCAGCATGTCTGAGGGGTCCGCCTCGCCGCGTGGACCGGACGAGGCCAGCCGACCGTTGCCGGCGCGCGCGCGCGCGCGGTCGACCCCATCCCGCCGGCTGTGTAGATCGAGGCCCGGGTTCCGAGGAGCGAAAGGCCCCGACCAGCGACCTCCCCCCGCCCAACTTGAAAAGGTCAAGCTCAGATGCGCCCCCCCCCCCCCGCGCCGCTCCGTCGACGAGGCAAATGCGCGGGAAGGCTAGCGGGCTATGTTATCAGGATATTTTGATTTGTAATCGAGTCGAGCTGCCCTGGACCGGGATTTTGATTGGCGAAGATGTGTTCTGATGGACAAGCCTTCTGCGAGAGGAGATCCCCGTCCGGAACCGGATCACTAGAATACCATTATGAACTCGTCGGTGGGCACTGAATGAAAGGGCACACTAGCCCGCTTTACAGTTAATGAGACTGTGGGCTTTATGAATTCAGTCGGCCGCGGCATTTTGCGCGTCGTTTCCGATGACCGTTGTGGGGCAGGAGCCCATGGGCCCACCTTTGAGGATCGGCTCCCCCCCCCCCGTCCTTCGATGCCCCTTATCCGGTGTGGTGCCGAGGGCCTGCCTCCGCAGTCATCGATATGCAAGCAAGACCGCCCCCAAAGCAAGGCGCGTGCACATGACCGCGAGGACAACGCACGCCACATCTCATGTGCCTGGTCGGACATTCCGCCATCCGGACGTGGGGCCACACTCTGGACGCCGCCATGGCCCCCAGCGGGCGCACCAGATCCGACGACCATGCTGGCGGTGGCTGGTTCTCCACCGTGAGCCCCGCAAGAATATGGCTCAGTATCATCCCGACGGAGAGGCAGCCCAAGGGACTCGCTGCGCCGCACAGTCCGGCCGATGCCGCCGCCCCCGACATGTGGGGGCCGCGCGCGGATGCCACGCGGCCACACGCGGATGGGTGTGTCATTCTGCAGGGCTCCCGAGCCAAGGCACAGTTGCATTGGTGCCTGATCTTGCTCCCACTCCGCGGCCGCCTCCCCCGACGAAGGATTCCCCGGCAGCCGCCAGGTCAAGTGTTGCCAGCCTTCCTGTGTGCTTTTGTACCCATGCTGTCGGTGCTTCTCCACCAAGGGGAAGGGCAGGCTTGCATGCTTGCACACTGACACACGCACAAAATTTGCCCAGATGCCCCCACTGCGACAGGGGGGCTTGGTGTGCCTCTTCGGCGTCTCATGCGAGCAAGCAGCCCCGCCCTCGGCCCTTCGGGAGCCAGGAGGGTGGGCATGCTGCTGGGGATGCGATGTTCCCATGCCGTGGGCGGCCTTTTCAAGGCGGGGTGCCCACCCGGTCTTGTCTCCCTCCCCATCTCGTCCCGAGTCCAAGGCGTGTGGGGGTCGTCCTCCACCCGAGTGGACCCAGCTCTACGCAAACATGCCGAGATGCCCCCCTAGGGTGTGCGCCGGCCGGCACCCGTGGGCAGCCCCATGTCTATGACCCTGCCCTGCGATGGACGTCCAGGCCGAGGCGCGTGGACTCTGCCACGGCGCGGCCATGATTGACGAATCGCCCCCAAACAGGAGAAGGATCACCCGCGGCCCAATGTACCAGAGTCCTTGGCGGCAGCGAGGGCCGAGGCACCGCCGCCGTGCAGCCGCCGCAACATGTCGAGCCATATATCTCGACTTGCGCCTGGCGGTCCGATCTTCACGGCCGATGCGTCTCTTTCTTCCTGTTCCATCACCATCTGCACTCCCTCAAGCACGGACTTTGGCGCCTTCTCCACCGTGTGAGCGCTGGGGCTCCCCCTCCCCCCCCCCGCTTCTCTTTCTTCAAACCTCCGGCCACCCTCTGGCTTCGCTTCTTGTGTCTGTTATTGCTGGGCTGGAGGAGGTCCCGTGTCCTTCGCCAGGGAGTGCGTGCGGCTGGCTCCGCTTTGGGCCGGCGCACCGTGCCAGCTCGCATATGTGGTCCACGTCGGTCCCTCTGAAATATCTCCCCCCCCCCCCCCCCGCATCGGGCGCGCCGTTGCGCAGCCATAGGGCATGGACGCGTGTCTTTCTCACTCATTGAGGTGAAGGTGTGTATATTATATATAGATCTCTTGTCGGGTCTTTCCCCCTATCTCTGTGCTCCGTGTATGCGCGGGTGGGGGAGTGTGGGGGGTGGTTGCTCGCGCGCGAGCCTTCATTCATGATCTCCCGCGAGGGATCGAAAAAATGGCACATCTCTAGGGGACCTTACAGGATGGTGGAAAGACACGCGGCCACCACGGCAGCGGCTGCCGACACGGCCAGCCCGCCGAGGGGCGAGCGCATGGCGGCGGAGTTGGGGCGCTTGGTGGGGGTGGGCCCGACGATCGGCTCGGCCGTCTCGCCGTTGGCATTCTGGCACACAGCCGAAGAGGTGCTGGTGGCGACGCAGGAGAAGTTCGTCGGGCAGAAGCCGCGCGCACCGCGAGGGCACTGCGCGTGAGCGTGGCGGGGCGCGTGTTTGCGGAGGGTCGCACATGGGGGGGGGGGGGGGGGGATCGCGCGAGTGCGAGGTCAAGTGTCAAAAGGGCACGGCGTTGGCGGGTGGCAGCGTCACATCGTGAGAGAGTTAGAAAGGTGTCCGCAATCGCTCAGGCGCATGAGCGGGGGGCGCGGCATATTTGCTTCTTCCTGTCGGGCCCTGCGCCCCTGCCCCCTTCGTGTCTCCAAGCTCCCGACAGGAACGGCGAACCAGCCTTTGCCAGGGCATAGGCCCATCCCCAGGTCACCGAGAGAGGCGGAAACCGAGCGGCAGGAAGGACGACGCACCCACAGGAAAGTCCCATCTGCCTCGCAGTAGGTGCCATCAGCCACCGGGCGTCCGAGGCAGTTGCCCTGGATGTTGGTCGGGGCCACGTAGTTGACGACATTCGTCATGCAGTTGTCCGCCTGGGTGTGCATATGCGCCGTGAGGGGAAAAGAGGATATGGCCAAACCCATGGGCGCCCCCGGAATGGGCAAAAAAAAAAGAAGCGATGACCATGACACAGGGAGGAGCGAGGGAGCCGGAGGTCGGAGCACCAGATGATGGGGGGCCGGCACAAGGGTCAAAAAGAGCGATGTCCCGTATGTTAGAGAGCGCCAAGTCGCGGGGGGTCGCGCGCGCGCGCGCGCGGTATTGCGCCAAGGAAGGCGCCGATAAAGGAAGACCAAAAGACAAGCCCAATCGTCTCATGTAACCCCCCCCCCCTCCCTCCCCCGCCGCTCCCGCGGCCCCGGGGTCTCGCCCCTCCCGGAACAAGCGTGCATCAGCCCCATGCACGCACCCCGAGGGACTTGACGTAGGACTCAATGGACCGGGCACTGCAGGTGCTCCACTCCTGGCTGAGCTTGCCCGGGGCACTGGCCCAGGCCATGACATAGCCGGTGATGGGGCAGCTGTTGCCATCGCCATCATGGTTGGCACCGAGCGTATGGCCAATCTCATGGGCCACGGTCTCGGCGGTGAAAGCCAGCGAGGCGACGGTGTCCTCGTTGATGCCGCAGGAGGTTGGCGAGCACATGGCATTCAGAGGGGCATACCCCACGACGCCATAGTCCCCGTCGACCTGCAGATCACGGCCGGTCAGCAGCTGCCCGACATCGCCGTTCATCTTGCTGTAGCGCCAGTTGCAGAAGTTCGGCAGCAGGCGGTCCGCATCGCTGGAGGAGTTGAAGGGGTCCGAGGAGAATGCCTCGGTCCGGGTGAGGACCAGGCGCAGGGGGCGCCAGAAGACCTTGTCGCCATTCTCATAGAGGACCGCCGCGCCGTTGGCCACGCCGACCAGGCGCTGCTGCGCGGCCGCCTCGCTGCCATACCGGCTGAACAGATACGAGTCGCCGATCATGCTGAGCTCCATGTACAGGGGCGTCTCCGCGCGGGCCTCCATGGTGGTGGCCAGGGTGGCGGCGGCGGCCTCGGGCGAGGCGCGCATGGCGTCGGCGGCCGTCACCACGGCATCCTCCTCCAGCAGGGTGCGCGCGGTCTGCTTCTTGGTCGCGGCCGCCGGGGCCCCCTCGATGGTGACGGTG